TTCACATACTAGCTGTTCTGTACACCAGGCATCATAATGTCATGCTTGTAATTACTTATCTCTGCATGCTAATTGCCCCGTGTCCCAGTCGGCAACAGGGCTTGATATAGTACATTTAATCATATTAGTGATGTCACATGACCCCTCAAGCCGCGCCGGCGAGACCACCATTATTTATGCTTACTGTTTGTCTCAAGACGAAAATTTCAATTTAAATCTGAAATCCCTACTACTTAAATTTTACAAGCATGTGACCCACAAGGCATTATTGTACTTTCATGACATAAGTTCAAAGGTGGACATGCATGTAAGTTTACATAACATATCGATAATTAGAAAATACTATCTGCCTTTAAACTTGCACAAATTGTATTTATGTAATCCCACTATATTCACTGAAGGTCAAAGTCACTGTAGGTATGCACATTTCGAAGGATGTATGCAAATATGTTAACAGTATATATTTAAGGGAACAATGAATTCCATCTTTACCAACAGCTTATCTTTGCTACTTGCAAGGCTTGTTTAAATTTAAATTTTTAGGGCACAGGGAAATGTTCCAGAGTCACCAAATACATTTCCATCTATAACATAAAAACATAAGGCCTAAATTGTGGCTTTGAGTTTTGATATTTGATATATTTTCTTCTTTCATTCATGCATTCATTTATCTGTTTATATATTTGTTTTAATTTTGCAGGAATTACTACAAATAAAACAGACACAGGTAATGTTACCAAAATTTGTCAACTTTTTATGTAGAACAAATAATAACTGTACAACATGTGCGACTACTACTCAATGCTAACGTTACTTTGCTCATCACATTTTGCTATCTAACTACTGATTGGATAAGATATACAAGATACTATCAAGGATAATTGGTAATATATTCAACATAGAATCAATAATTTAACAATTAGAAACAAAAATATAAAAATGTTATTTGAGGATGGTGACAATAGCAGAATACCTGATGTCTGGTGTGTGACAATTTCATCTATTTGAGTATTTTTTATTTACATTTTACTGCAATTAGTAGGCTGTATTCTTATGTTGTATCAGTGTTTTGAATATTGTCACAGAGTTTACTTACCGTACACATTTTCATTCAGGGCCGGATAATCCAGAAAAATATGTCATAATAATCGTGGTAGTGGTAATCATAGTAATAATCTTTGTTGTAAGTATGTTTTTGTTTATATTGCATATCATAAAGACGCACTCTATGAAAACAGTAGCTTTCATTCATATTTCATGAAAAGTTTTTGTATTTTATATATTTTTAATTTGTATTTTTACAGTGCGTATACATATATACAAAAGTACACAAAAGTAATAGTGCTCAGGAAACAAGAAATACTGTGAGCTGGTTTCATATTTACTTTTATCGTTCTCATTTGTATACAAATTATTTATCCGTGTATAATTGACTATAAATTAGATATTTTGTAACCCAATTCATCAAAAAAAAATTCAATTTGAGAAACCCAAATAAATGCATTCAATAACTACAATATAGTCATAAATTTAAATAACCTACACTGGTTAATATATGTTCTTTTCTGTATGTGGCGGGTTTATGGTTCATATGCAAAAAATCTGGCACAGAAACTGAATGAAACTACAGGTAATTATCAGTTGCATACACAAATATTGTATATATTGTTATGTATTATGATGAAAAAAAGGACGTGTTTGTCAGATAATTTACCTCTGTCATATGAGATCAATGTTGTAGGCGTGTAGGCACATTTTATATTATTTTAATTTATTTTTTTACTCACAAAGTAATGCGATGCAAAATAGCATAAATAGATCTTTGGGCGACCAAAACATGTACTTTATGACACAGATAAACTTTGATATAGTATGTACACTAATACATTATCCCATTCATTTCAAGAGCAAATGTTGTCACAAAGCTAGTTATAAACATTTCACTAACAGTTCAAAATAAAAGAAACATGAAAACTAAAACTATCACATGGTTATTATGACTTGTGAACAATGTACTTTTCATCGAAAAACTAATTTGTCATGTCTTATGTTTTTTGTTGAATTAATAAGTGTAATTTAGCATTTTAGGTTATTGCTCAGACTACTTAGGAGTACCAATATAGGGTCAATATTTAAAGAATTATATTTTTCAAAATATGAGAAATTCGAGGTTAGACAGTGAAACAATATTTTATATAATTTTGCATTATATCGCACTTCCTGTAACTTTATTATTTAATTATGCTTATTAATACTGAGTCCCGTATTATAATTCAAATACAGAATCTAAAATACATAAGTTAAATTAATTGGTATCCGGAGAGTTTAGTATATTAAAATCATTTGTATAAAAAATACACAAGCCATCGACGTTGCCATATTGCAATATTCGGGTTGCTTTTGACATAAGACGACCATCTCCCACAGGGCTACTGGCATTTCCTTCCAAGTCCAACTCACTGAGATAGCTTGTTTGCCAGGTCGAGTAACAAAAAAAACAGCACTGTTTATTGAGTTGTAGTTGGGTATTTCAATTCAACACACATAATTTGATTTGGGTAACAGTGACTACGAAAGTTTTACCTGGGCTGTAGGCACTACAAATAAATTTTACTAGGGCTGTAGATACTACAAGTAAATTGTGATTGGGCTGCATGCGCTACAAATACATGTTACCTGGGCTGTAAATTGCAGCTAGTTGTTAAGTACTACAAATAAATTGTAGTTGGGTTGCAGGGACTGCATGTGAATTGAAACTGGTTTACTGTTTATTACAACTAAGTTCAAATAGTGCAGCTGGTCACTACAACTAAATTGGACTACAGGTACTACAACTAAATTCATTCATGGTGGACATGGTGACCCCAAGGAACGGTAACTAAACCTAGGGTGGCTTAAGACTTTGCTACCTGTAATCAAAACTCTTCTAATGATAACAACATGTACAAATTTCTTCTATCTTTTATTCTGTAATACACAATGATACAATAATGTAATTTCAATTGAATTACAAATATCATATATCATACATAATATACTAACTCCCCCATCCCTGGAGCCCAGCCTATAAGTGTCATAATTAGTGTTCTTATTTTCTGCTGTTTGCTGTTCCTCTACCATGTCCTCTCCCTCTGCCTTGGACAGCTACATGGGCTCTTCTGTGTTGCTGTCTCTCATCTCTAGCTTTTTAATGCTACTGTGCCTTGCCTTTTACCTTGCCTCTGCCTGATTCGCAACTTTAAGTCTGTGTCATTTTTCCATGCTTACTGGTACTGCAGGTTGCCTCATGATGGTAGGGAAAAACGCAATCTTTGCAAAAATATACATTGCACTCATTAAATTTGTAGATGCTATATATATATAATGGCCTTTTGGTGTTTTCCGTCCCATCTTAATGCACATTCGACAGCTAGCTCCTCCGTGATCTACTTTCACAAAGCGATAATTTACTCAAGACAGATTCATCAGGTGATCACCTTTGATTTCTGGAGGTAAACCCACCAATTAGTGCATAAACATCTTGTGTTTTTTTGAATCGATCAGTTCCTTACAGATAATTCAACTGTTGGCGCTGTGATGAAAAACATGATCGCAGCTGACTGGCAAGATCAACACCTCCAATGTGTTTGTTATAAACTCCAACAATATCTGGTGCTGGAAGGCTGTAAATCGTCTTTCGGCGTGTCACCGGGTTCTTTATATACCTGCTAATTCTTGTTTTGTCATCTCTAAACTCTTCTGAGCAATTTGACAGCAGGTTCAGTGTACTGGAATTCCTGTATGTTACGACAACTATATCTCCTTTCTGTCTTGATGCAAACTGGTCTCTGCAGATATTTTTCATGGTATCGCTTGCAGGGTTTCTACAGGGTTTTGTGCACAGTGAATTAGGGAAGGTTTTTGGTCCTGTCTCACTAAGTATGTGTGGTGGTGATCCAGTAGATGATTTGTCAATTTTATGCTGGTGTAGTAACTGTCAGTGTAAACTACATGGTGCAGTCCCCTGAATGGCGCAATCAAACCCTCATTCATAGCAGTTGTTCTGGGTGCATCCACCATGACTTCCTGTGCTAGTCATGAATTTAAGACTTGCCACATAATTTAAATCATTTGGTCCTTGGTTTTCCCTGGACGAACACTGTTGGTATACCATTATACCTGCCCTTGTAACCTACAATGGCCTCATCTATTGCAACCTCACGATGAAGATGATAGAACTGTTTGACAGAGTTACCACATTGTGGAGAACGGGGGCGACTTTGTATATTGGCTGTAATCGTCTCTCTCTCTCTGGGTCTTTCATTCTGATTGGTAATATTAGCTAGGTCAGCTCTGGTATAATTTGCATGAAAATATTGCAGAATTTTTTGAAATCGATTATGACTCAAATGGCATTTTTTTTTATTTTGCATTGCACTGTCACCTGACCAATAGTCTGATGTGTCACCTTTTATGTTAACACTCATAATTATTAAAATGCCAAGAAAAGCTACCATGTCCCCATCAGTCTCTATTTTTGACAAATATTTATCAGCATCCTTCTTATGTTTAATCCATTTGGCATAAGTATCGTCTCTGTTCTTAGTCTTGTGACTAATGTTTTAGGGAATAATTTGTGGAATGCACTAATTGGTGTTGGTATATATTCTGCCTTCAAATTTGGGCCAGGTCTTTCACCTGTAAATTCTTCCACTGTGTGTCTGTGTAGGATATCATCCCAACCATCATCATCTACAGGCATGTCATGGTAGTTATCACGATCACCTTCATCTATATAACACACCGGTTCAGTATACAGTGTATTCCTGACCCCAAGTTGTCTTTATCCTTGTCTGTAAGTCCATGTGGAGAAGTGGACTACGTCTTTCATGCTCTGGTTCATGCAGTTCCTTGCCTGATGAAGTATCCATGTCACTGTCAAGATTAGGAGGAGGTACACTAACATTGTTATCAATATCATCATCACTGCTATACAGGTCACTCATCATTCTGCGTCTGAGTCAGCTGTATACCATCATCACCTCCCTCAAAATGCCATTGTCTTGCTGTATACCATCATCATCACCCTCAATGTTACCATCATCTTGCTGTATACCATCATCACCACCCTCAATGTTACCATCATGCTGCAGTATACCATCATCACCACCCTCAACATTTCCATCATCCCGCTGTTTATCATCATCATCACTATCAACCATGTCATCATCCTGCTGTATACCATCATCACCCTCAACGTTGCCATCATCCAGCTGTTTATCGCCATCATCACCCTCAACCATGTCATCATCCTGCCGTATACCATCATCACTCTCAATATTGCCATCCTCCCACTGTTTACCATGATCATCACCCTCAACCATGTCATCATCCTGCTTGTATACCATCACCACCACCCCTCAACGTTGCAATCCTATTGTTGTTTATCATCTTCATCACCCTCAACCGTGTCATCGTCATGCTGTATACTATCACCACCACCCTAAACGTTGCCATCCTCCTGATGTATACCATCATCACAACCCTCAACCTTGCCATCATCCTCATCTTTTTTGCCCTCACCAACTTTTTTTTATCAATGCCAGCACCATGGTTTGAATTAGTGGTTTTAGTGCCATTGCCACTACTTCTTCTCTGTTGTTGTCTTCTCCTTTTTCTTCTGTGTTTAGAAGTATGTGAAGAGTGAGGCTCATCACTATCCCTTGTATCATCGTGACTATGTTTCTGTTCCAATTGCCTTCTACGATAACTGTGCTTTTTTTGTTTAATGCTACCACTAGTACTAGGATGGGAACTATGTGGCGCAAAACTATCACTTGTATCCACACAGGTATATGCAGATATATTACATAAATTTGGCTTAATATGACCTTGAGCCATGTCATTTTGATATTTAGGTCGCTCTCAAAATGACTGACTGGCGGTCATTGTGATTTATTAAGTGTAGTTATAGTGCCATATCACTGACATGATTGCCATGATGATGTTCAAATTGTATATACTCATTGTACGTCATGTCATAGATACAGATGTATTGGATTGATGATCCGAATCATAATGACCAAACATGGTCATTTTTGTGCTAACATTTTTTCAACATATAAAGAGTTTCTGGCATTTCAGAACCAGATCTCGATCTTTTATGAATGTAATTCGTTCATACTTGTTAAATACATTTTGGGTCCCTGGTGCACTTGTTTTTCAGATTGGATTCAAAATTGCTAACCATTTTGTTTTGATGATTGTGGTGTGATTACGTTTAAAATGTATACATTCATTATACATCATGTCATAGATACGCAGATGTATTGATTTGACTATTCGAATCTAGTCGGTCATTTTGTTTTCATTCATGATGTTCCAGAGCACCAATGCAGCAGTTTAACATACCAATATTACAGTAGAAGTGTCGCCTATCAAGCATTATAAATAAGCCTGGGGAATGACATATCTACCCTCTGAATGAGAAGCAGACGAATAAGTCGCAACTATTCGATGTTATCAATGAGTTGCAAGTAGCAATGGCCAACTTACACTTAATATAATTGAAACGTATGACTCTAAATACACAAACCAGAAGTTATTCAATACATTTACTAAGATTGTTGACGATTTAGGTCAAGACATTTCAGAAATCAATTCTTCAATTAAATCATGAATGGGCAGGACTTTTCTTGAAATTATGTCCTAATATCTTTTCTTCAAATTGTTCATGCTCACATTTTCACGCTAAAGGTAAAATGTTTCAACAAAGTATGCAAAAAGTAAGGTTGTTGTAATTGAAATAGATCAAAAATATATCAAATAGTATTGTTGGTAATGTGAATATATTGTGAGTTTAACCAAATGGTGAAATGTGTTAATACTGTAGTACCAATCTACCGGGAAGCATTTTTCAATAATAGATTTTGTCAGTCACCATCATTTCGTAATAGGTTTTAATATTATTCCATGGATAGAAACATTCTATCTACTATCACCTAAATATTACCATCCAAATTACTATAACATTAAATGACAATTACATCTTATATTGTATTATATTGTAATATAACTATGATGTCATCATCTGCTAAACAACATTTCACTGCGTAAGTATCAAGGATGAATTTTTGAGATGTCATACTTCAGCTCATGAACGTTTTATCTATGCCCGGTAACTTCAATATAGTTTCTGTGCTGATTAATTGCACAGATTGTAGCTAATGACATATCACCATCCAAGAAAATACTAGTATGCTATGGAGTTTATGAACAAAATGTTGATTTTGCAACTCTGCTGAATAATTTATTACGTCACTATTATTTTTTCAAAGCGACAATGATGTTGTTCATTAGCAATTCATGCAGCTAATATAAAAATTGATTCTAATAACATCATGGTGTGAATCACTTCTAGTACCCAGTCTCTTCTACAATATAGTCAATGTGGTAGATCATATGGTCATACATAATAGCATGTTTCAGACATTTGTCACATTCTAAGAATAATATATTTGACAATGGCCACATTTCTGCTTAAAAAAAGTTTGATTTTGTATTTTGTATTCTACGACTAAATAAATTATTATCTAAATAATTATTTTATCACTAGTAAATTGTCACTGGTCGACGCAAAAGTAACAATCGCGCGGCAAAGTACAGGCTACCTGCTACCAGCCTGCCTGTTATATTGTAACTCGTGAAATTTACCATTGTTAATGCATAACTGCATAATGAACAATCCTGGTCCATAACTTAAATAACTGGCTTAAATATCGCTTTTATATCGCTATATAGCTTTTGCAATTCGCGATGTTTAACGTTTAACGTCTATTTCGTATTTTGATATATTGCATCCTTACACTGAACATATTTTGACTTTAGAAAAGTAATTCAGATCAGTCACACGGTATGATGGCAGGTCTTGAATTTTTGAAAAAAAAATAGCACCAACATTAGCGTATTTTTTCATGAGATCTTTAATCGCTAGTCATATGTTTAGTTAAGGTCAGATGTATATGTAAGCAAGATAAAATAATATAATTTGGATTAGTCACGTAGCCTCAACGTTCAGTTCAACCGTCATAACCATTCATACATTTGTTTGAAAGTAATGTTTGATCGATTGATAAATTATAATTAACCATGTGGTTCGAACATCATTTTCGATTTTCTACAAAATTTGAACATTTGTTCAAACTTATCTGAATTGAGCTGAGCTGACGACATTTTGAATGGAACAATAATGGCCAGAATATATTGTGGAGAAATAAAAAAAAAACTACTGTGATTAATTGGTTCTGCTCAAATAACATTACTCAACATACCTGTAACGTGAGCCGTTGATTTTGTATTGGAATATGACATTTTTGTGTGTGAATGTGTGTGAATAAGCTCCAACATTTTAACACTAGGAACATCATGGTTAAGAAAAAATAATTGGAAATATTCAACAGTTACTCTGAATAATAACATAATTACACTTTAATATTTTAGCAGACAAAGTTGAATTCATCAGGAGGTGTTTTGGTTTTATTTTGATATTGTGATTTGGTTTGATTTAACACTTAACACACACTTAATTCTAGTCTAGTTATCTAATTAATGTTAATCAGCATTTCCATTTCAATTTTTCATTTGCTAATTAAAACTGGCATTTAAACATATAAAAGTGATTTAATCATGCCAGATAAATGCAATACCCACACAACTTGAGTCTTGATTTTTCAACATGCGGTTAATGACTGAATGTGCTCGAGCTATTAAAATGAACACACTGTAGTGTTACTGTAACACATATTTTTAGTTTAGTTAAATATTGAACAGAATAAGACAAGATGATAGCTGTTTTTGAGTATTATGTTACAACTTGCTCAGTAATATATGAGCTTGAAGCGTGAGATAGAAAAAAAAACATACGTAATTTAATTTAAGCATTGTTTTTTATTCAGAGCAATTCGCGAATACAACGGTTCTAGCGTGTCTACATTTGGAGAGTTGTGCATATTTATTTAGACGTTGCTAAGACAAATATTCCATTGGTTTTAATACAGATTAAAGTTAACACGTAACCCGTCCGTAAAGCGACCTACTTAACAAACACAAACCAGGCCAAAAGCAATGTACTAATATCATAGGCGTTTAATGGCATTCACTGTCAAGCAAAAAATTCAAAATAAATGCGTTGTGGCGTGTGTAGTGGGTGGAATGATTAATATTGCTTTTAATTCGGTAACAGCATCCTGAATTAAATTAAAATTAAATTGCCATTGCAGATAACTGACATTTTATAATTTTAATAGTTTATATTTATGACAAAGCTGCTGGTGAAAATAGAGTTTATTTTTGTTTAAAGGCCCAAGTAGATTATATAAACTGATAAACAATAGGCACGTCTGTAGTAAACAGCGCCTGTCAAGCCTGTGTTTTAACAACATAGGTGTAGATGATTATGACATTGTGTTTATTATTGTTCACTGTTCTCGGTGCATGCATGTGGTGATATTCAGCTTACTCAGAAAATAGCACGGGGTACAACTGTGACTTGAACTCGATCACACTAGTACTCCATGATCACACGATTCCCAGAATTAACTATTGCAGCAATTCCGACCGACTTTGTTACACGTGAATTCATTCGACGGGCGTCTTTGCATTTTGATTGATACAAAAAAATGTTCTTGTCAAAATTAACATTTTGTTCAAGCTTGATGTTTTCTAATGTAGCAGACAAATGTTTTTTTTTTATTTTTATATTTCAATAAATGTAGGGGTTTCAGTCATAATTTAAGTGGCTGTGTATGAGCTGAAAAAAATAAACGCACAGTAAGGTGACATCACGTCATATTTTGGAAAGGTCTAGAATGTACAATGGCGTATTTGATAAAAAAATGTAGATAAGTTAAACGAACCTATATGACAAGAACAATGTGTTTGAAAGGTATAAAGTGCATGATAATACAGCCATGGTAACACAACACTAACAATAACTGCTAATAATAATTGTTGTTGTTTTCGTTGGCGATAACGATACACACTTCAAATAGTTGCCGATAGCGGCAGCAAGTGCAACTCTGCGTTACCTTTGGTATGTTTCTTAGTCTTGCATACTACTGCAAAATGTCCTGTTAGATGACATTTGTTACAGCTCGCAGATCTTGCTGGGCATTCCCTATCCCTGGCGAAATGTCCCTCTTTATCACAACGATAACATTTCTTTTTTTCTCTCTCTCTTCCTGGCTTCTTTTGTGACCTTTGACCTTTATGGACTTGGTTGACTTCACGTTTAAATTCACCTCCCATAGTCTTTAATTGAACATCAACTACTTCTAAGGCCCGTGCTG